TATCTCAAATTAAACTTTATTTTTTAAAAATATATTTACTAAACTACATATAAACAAAAGCTCATATAATTCCATATGACCATTATCACACAATAAAAAAAAAACAAATTACAGTTTTTTTTGATCACCACTGTATATTTGCTAACATGCCTCATATATGTGATGCACCGTAAAAAAGTACGTTAACAGAATTGATATTTATAACTCATTGTAAAAACCTTCAGAGATCTTTAAAGATGTGTAGAATAACCAATAAAGTATTGTTAAACCATGACCAATCAAAATTTTAATTTATAAATTATCACGTCAATATTTGATGATTCCATTTTTAAAGCAAAGTACTTCATTTTTTAAGCAAGCTAATAATATTTATAATCATAAAGTAATATTCGAATAGTGATGAAGATTTGTATATAGTCATAAAGTAACATAATTTCTTGGAATTTGTGTTATATAAGTCTCTAAGGTTCTTCACAATTTCCTTAATGTCAAATAAAAGACAAGAAATGCATAACATGTTTCAAAACATTATTTCAGGTAAAACTTCTGGTGAAAAGGAGAACATAATAGAAGTTCTTCGCGGGCCTCTAAAAAGACATCAAGTTCTTCTAAATCTCACAGTCATGTTGAAATCCCAAGAAAAATACCTCCACTTGATGTAGATAAAGACGTACCCCACAAGCATCCACAAATCTCTGGAAGTATCTACAAAACTGCATCGCGCCTGGCTTGGATATATGAAGGAACTTCAGATATATTAAAAAAATACAGCACATATATAAATAAATACTAACTATTTGGTTAGATTATAATAGGTTTCTTGAGAGAATTTTGGAATCCAATGAAGCCCTCCATAAGAAAATGGATCAGTTGCTAAAACAGCAAAAAAGTGTAGAGGATAAGATTACCCACCTCAAAAATAAAATTTACATGAGTATATATTTAATTACTGAACAAGAATTTATTGACGTAAGTTATAAGTTAAAGATCTTCAGTGAACTTCAATAATATATTTGATATTTTATTAGAAGGCGGTCAAGAGAATTGTGAAAGAATTGTTTAAAGAAAAAATATACATGGAATCTGAAGACTTTTGCAAGCAAACTGAGGAATTTTTTCAGAGGAAACATTCAGAGTTCTACAAAGGACTTTCAAGAAAATGATGAAAAACATACTATGAAAAGTATATTTGTCAAGAAGTAAGTTCAATAAATCATGTATTTATTTTAAATTATTAATGCTTTAATTTTATTTAATAGCTTATCAAGCAATACAGATATATCTATGGGACTACAGCTTCGAAGGTTCATGATACTATGTTTTCAGTTTTTGGTGAAGGCTCACTTGATATAATTACACCAGTGCATCAGTCACTGAAATTATAACATGGAAGCAATCACACAAGACAGTCGAATGTTACAATAATCTTCACAAACTTCTGGAAGAGGAGAATCAAAGCATAATGGCATGCGTTTTTGAAAAAGTTTGACCAAGAGAAGACCCCTTCACTGAACAAATGGCATTTGCTATCGCAATTTGCCAATCTGTTCTAAATCCATATAATGAAATAATTACTATAAATGAAGCAGTTCTAAAAGTGAAAATTAAGAAATATAAGGTTGGCTTCGAAGGTCTTTGATGGTCTTTGGAAATATAAAACATTTACTAATATATATTTTTAAGAAAAAATTATAAGAGGAATCAGATTCACGAAAGGAGATTCTAATGACGAAGATGGATCCGATGACAAACCAATAAGTGATAATAGTAAAATAGAAGTTCTAAAACCTCTGAAAGTAACTGAAAATAATGAAAATGATCTGACATTAAACATTGAAAGTTTATCATTGGAAAAACATTCTTCAGCAATGAGCTTAACAAAAGAATAAATATGTAATGCAAAATAAATTTAATAAATAATCTTTAAATATAAATAAATATTTGTAATAAAATTTTTAATAATATTTATATATAATTTAATGTAAATGTATCTTATTATATTTAAAAATCTTCAAAAAAATCTGGAGATTATATTAAAAATTTTTTGATATAATCTTTGGAGATGTTTAAAAAATTTTTCGATTATCTTTGGGATTTATATATATAACTTTTATTCCAGAGACTTCTAATGATGCCAAAAGTCCTCTGGAGATCTTCGTCTAAAAAATTTCCTGATGATAGACTAGAAGGGTTTTCACCCAAAGATATTGTGAAGCAAAATATTGTCCCAAGGCTGAACTTAAAGGCTTTTATGCTTATGACAAGTTAGTTAGATAGAATAAAAGAAGTTTAGCTATAGTATTTATCATACTGCTCAAATAAAAATATACTTATGTTTTTAATTGATTAATAAACTTACAATCCAGCCTGGTTACGAGTACTCAAAAAAAAAAAAAGTAAATATATATCAGTGATATTTTTAAAATTTATACTTTGTTATTAAAATTATATTACTTCTTGCTATTAATTTTAATTGTTATAATTTCAATCTTTAAATATTTTGTTATTTTTTAATCTACATATTGACAAATATTATAAACCTCTTTTTTTTTGATTCATTTAATTATCTTGTTCAAGTATTATTAATATTATTAAAATATTAAAAATATATGATCTTTATAATTAGATGACACATGATTTAGACGCGAGAAAAAAATGATTAGTTTCAGTTGTAAATTCATGCCAAACCAAGTATGAATTGTGATGCATAATTTGTTAGATTTATTTATTTATTTTATTTTATTTTCATTTATTTGACATCAGTTGCGATTCGTGTTGGTTTAATCATGATTTGTTTCTGCATATGATTTGATATGCTGGAAGGCAGTTGCACGTCTTAAATTATAAAATTCTGCTAAAATACTCAAAACGTGAATTAAAATATTTGACACACTTTGCTATGGTCAAATACAATTTGGCCTACCTTGGTTTTATCTTCATTGTGTCTTACTTAATAAATTTCTCATTCAGAAGAACGATTTTTGCGCGAGGTTCTTTGGACATATGTCAGAAAAATGAACCACCATATAAAAGATTCTACAGCGATACACATGAAAGATCAAAAAAACGCAGTCAATCTATTGTCCCTGTCTGTCGCAGTAATGAAGACGTTTGTTTATTCACGCGCAGAGCTAGCGATTCACTGGGAATAATGAATCGTAAAATGATCGGAAATGTTGAGAGAAGACAAGTACCTAAAAGAAAAAAAGTTTCCAAACCTGTTGCCCAAAATGAAGAACCTACCAAAATAGATCTTTCGGCAGACTGCAAAACTGATATCGGTCGACAACCCAAAATAAAGACAAAAAATAATGGTCGAATCAATCCAAATAGCAGGAGAAATTTCTTAAGACCGCATAATTTCCCAGTTTGTTCAGAATGTGGACCTCCGTGTCCGTGGTCCCTTGGATATGATGAGATTCCACATCGTTCCTGCCAACGTCTTCCACCTGTAAATCCGAACTCAAAAGTGAAACCCACAACTCAGAAAGGACCTGTGCAATGTGAAGTTGATGCTGTGGTAAGAGTATATGGTCATTTATTAAATTTGATTTTAAAAGTTTAATTGAAAATAATAAATTCTATTTAATTAGGTAAATGTTGAAATTGGGGCAAATACTAAAGGAGAGAATCCAAAATCTCGAAAATCGTGCGCGAAGGCCAAGTAAAAATTCCCCGAAATCGTTTTTTTTTTTAGTGTTTAATGATTATGTATTTTTGAAGATACTAAATAGTATTGTTGATCTGGTTTGTCAGAACAAAATAAATCAAGCATTAATGAATTGAGCGTTCGAACCATGAAACCATGTGCAAAAAAATTTTTTAAATAAATATTTACACGTACAGTATGCATTAAAAAAAATTATAAAAAATTATTATTTTCAAAAAAAAGAAAAATTATAAATTAAATACCTTTTTTATATGATGCAAAATAAAATATCTGTTTTATATTTTAATGCTTTTTATATTAAATAAATAAATATCATATAATAAAAATTTTACTTAGTTACAGAAATATAATAAAATATAATTTTTAAATATATTTAAAAAAATTTTTTTAATAAAAATCGTTCTATAGAATTTTTTTAGTATAATAAATTAAACATTATATAGTAGCTTATTAAAGTAATAAATCTTTAGTTCAAATTTTATATTAAAATATATCAAAAATTAAAATTTTAATTTTTTTATTTATTCACATTATGCCAGCATATCTTTATTGAGATATTAAATGAATATTTAATAAGCTATAAATTTTTAATAACAACTTATCTGTGTATAATATTAATTAAAGAATACTACCACTTATAAAATATGAGAAGTCTATTAAATTAGTTTGAACTAAACAAAATTAAGTTTTGAATAGGTACTTTAAGTTAGATTTAGAAAATAATATTATACTCCTCTTATAGTTTGAACTTTATTTTTAATTATTAAAATTATTATTAATGGTTTGTTATTATCAATTATTTTAAAAAACAATAAATTGTTAAAATAATTAAAAAAAAAATCAATTTAAAGCTTTTCAAAAGATTCTTAATTTATTTAAAAAGTTTCTTTTAAAAACATTTGTTTAAATAGTATATTTTTTAGTTTTATAATGTTTAAAAAACTTAACTATTTCTAAATAAAAAGATTTTAAAAATATTTAAAATTTTATTTTTTTAATAATATATATATTTGATTGGCATATTATTAATTTTTTTTTTTAAACCCTAGATTAGACTAGGTACGTGTGCTTTATTAAATGTTTGTATACTGTACATTTTAAATGATTCGCTAAAGCTAAGACTTTACCTAACTCACTTGTTGCTATTTTGTCTTAATATACCAAAACTCTAAGTACAATTTCGGAAGTGATTTATCACTCTGTTAATGGTTCAGGTGAATACCCTTTCAACCTTTAACATCATTGCCTGCAGATTACCACTGCAGATCACTATCCGTTGTTCTGACCAAGCTTAAAACCCAACCACTTCATTCCATAAGTAACACCTTTAAGTAGAATTTTTTTCAGGCTTTCATTTTCTTGAGTTCTTTCCTCTGATAGAGAATATTTACTTTTGGGGACTGATGGCTTTAAGCTGTGTATGTCTAAGGGTCAATTGATTTTTTCTACTCTGTGGATCCCCTGTAAATGTTCCCATTCGATTATATTCTCACATCTTTTGTTCCAAATCTTTTTCCTTATTTGGTTGCATACTTTTCTTTGCATCTTTGGCATCTATTTTCTTGCTTTATTACCAATTCTTTTTTCATGGCATTTCAGATCTGCCATTTCTAGAATTAGGTCTCTCTTTACTAGTCCTATACCAAAGCTTAGAGTGTCCTGACTAGTTTTTGAGATATGTTCTACTAGTTTAAAGATCCATTTATCCAATTCGACCATTTCTTCTTCCTCATGAATAATCAATCTTGCATATTTTTCTTCTGCCTCTTTTTTCCTCTCTTGTAAGAGCCCTCTGAAGTCTCTACGGATTCCATCTTGTCCTTTATTCCATGCTTCCTATAATTGTTTTTTATATGCTGGACACTCTAGTAAATATTCGAAAGTTTTACTTTGCTAGTTGCATGCAATACACTTCACTTGTTTGTAGAGGTCGGACCTTTTAATTGCCAACTTGTTCAGAGTTGGTAGCTCGTTATTCATTAATTTTATAAGGAAGCTTTTTCACTGTGATTGTTTAAAAGAAGTGTTCCAGGTGTATCCTTCTTTCATTCTTTTCCATACGAAGTTCCAAATATGATCTTGCTGTTTTATAATTTGATAGCTCCATTTTTTTGAGATTCTGTTTTGTTGCATCCACTAGAAGGCAGTTGTTTTATTGTTTACTTTTTTGACAAACTATCTTATTGAATAATCCAGTGTCTTTTTTTGTTATCTAATTTTTGTAATGATTTTGTATGAGGTCAGTTCTTTCCATTCTATTGCTGGAAGTTTCAGAGCTTCTTTGGCTAGGACATCTTCTTCTTCATTGTGGGGATTATTGAAATGTGTCTTAACCTTGACAAGTTACAGATTTATGATTTTTTTCTTTACCAATTTTAATATTCATATCCACAGGGACCAGTTTTTTTTCTTTAACCATCTTTTGTGAGTTTGCTTTGGATCTTCTCTTTATATTGTTTTCCACTTGAAAATACAGGTCTGACTATCTGTATAGATTTCCACGTTACTACACAAGTTCTGCGTGTGTTAAAGAGGGCCAATTGTCTACTCCTGTCTGAAATCTACTTTCTCTGCTCATATCTTCTATTTAAATCCATGCTGCTCCCATCTTCATTTCTTCCTTTTCATGATTAATGAGTGATCTATCAGAGTAGAAGATTAGTTTTTTAACATTGGATCCTAGGTTGCATTGAAGTATTTATATTAAGTAATCTTGATATACTTCTTCTATGATATTGTCTCTAATGATAACCTCTTCCTATCTTTCGATAACTACCTAATTCACTATATTGGTTGGAGCTAAGTTTGAGGGTTTGGATCCATGTTGGTCACCTTTTCCATTGTTCCTTCTAGTAATGCCTTGGAGCAGGGGATTGTTAGTTCTTGAGCTCTTCTAGTTGACTTTCTTGTATTGAGATATAAAACTTCATATATATCTTTCATATTTTTCTTTAATATACATCTTTCTTTTTGTCTTGTACCCTCTGAACATCCTGGGCACCTTGTTAATATTGTTGTTTGAGTATTATTATTACTACAGCAGTTGAAGTGTTCGACGTTGACTTTGTGTCCTACTTTTGTCTGTTGTAGTTTTTTCCAGATTATATGATATCTAGCTTTCTTTGTAATTATCCATAGTTTTGTCATTTGTCACAGTCTGTATTAATTGTACCATATTCTGGTTCACACTTTGTTCAATCTCTTTTTCATGTACTTATGGATTGGCCTATTCTATTCCTTGGAAGAGTTTTGATTAAAGCTTGAAACTATTCAGGAATAGGACCTTTACTGGTGTTCTGAAGTAGTTGAAGCATTCATCAATCCTTAATTTCTTTAGTAATTTGATTGATTAGCTGGTCTACATACAGCAGTTTATTGTATCTTAGTGATAGTATGACTTTTCTATATTCTTTTAAAGTAAGATACTCATTAATTAAACTATTTCCTTTGCTTTATTCGAAGATTTCTTGCCATTTCCAACTGTGAATGGTTATTCCTATATCTTTAGCCAACTTCATTACTTGGAGCATAAAATTTCCTTTATCTGATAGATGATTCAAAGAATTGCATGTTAATAGGTTAAGTGGTTCCCAATTCTTTATCTGTGCTTGTTTGAGTCGAATAATTGTTGTGATTCTTGTAGGACCAGGATCATTTAGTCTATTACATAATCCTGTTATTTGACTTTCTTACTGAAACATCCAGATGCTTTTCAGGTTGTGAATCTTTGGATAATGTATTATACTATTAGGTATAGATCTACATAGGATATTCTTGTTTTTGAAAAGCTTTCTATATGCTGCCATTAAAGTGTTACATATTTTCCAGGGTAGTATATTATGTTGCATCCTGAATTCTATCCTTGGAATTAATACCCTGTTTAGAATGTATAGAATTTGTTTGTCTGTTAATTTCTTGTTTTTAAGAGCTCTGGTCACTATTTTGATCTCTTTTAGCATCCTCTCTTTGAGTTCAACTGCAGTTTTTTGGTTGCCAGTCCAGATTTCTAGAAATCTTGTATGTTCTGCCCTGCTGAGCCCCTTTACCACTTCTTTTTCTATACCAGCCTGAACCTCTTCCGAATAGCAATTAAAATTGTTAATAGTAATTAGGACTGATTTATTACTGTTGATTTGAAAATCATTGGCTTTGTAAAAGACTCTCTCAGTTTCGAGGATTTCTTCTATATTCTTTTTGGATCTTGCTATCTATGTCATATCATCTATAAAGGCTATAATCGCATGTCTTGATTCTAGCCTTCTTGTGATCTATTCTTTGAGATCTGGATTCCAGGTGACTAACATTTTGTATCCCTTTTCTTTGTCATTTTGGATCTTGCAAAGTAAAGGATCATAGAATATTTGCCATAGCAGTGGTGAGATAGTTTCTTTTTGGTTGATGTCATTCCCTGTTTTTATGGATTTTGTGAGGTCATTTTCAAAGATAACTTGAAATTCTCTGTCTTGAAATAGGCTCAGCATAATCTTGATAAAACCCTTTGGTATTTTGATCCTTTCTATTGCTTTGACTAGTATATCTAGACTTATTGTGTCATAGGCTTTAGCAATATCTTGAAAAAGTATCACTAATTTCTTTTTGTTTTCTCTTGTATATTCATAGATATTGTTGAGAATTTGGATTGGTTCTGATGTACTTTCTCTAGGAAGATGTATGAAGTTGGGATCTTTGAGGATATTATTGACTTCATAGATATTTCCTATTCTATTAGTAAAGATTTTTGTAAAACACTTTCTTGTGACTTTCAACAAAACTATTGGTCTTGTGTTTATTAGCTCACACTCCCATGGTTTTGGTTTGGCTATGGGATATATATAGCTCTGTTTCTAACAAGTGGAAGTTACCTCCCATCTAAAGAAGTTATTTAACATTTTTCTCAAGATTTCCTTTTCATTTTGACTCAAATTCTTAAGTATTTTATAGCTAATTTGTAACTGTTCTGATGCCTTGTTGTTTGGAAGTGTTCAAAGTGTTTC